TGGCAGCAGTTCAACATCCTGGACAGCATGAGGTGCTTCCAGCAAGTGTAAGTGCAGCAAGGAGAGGTCAGAGCTGTGGGGCACCACATGGGCACTGGGGAGGGAGGTCATGGCTAGGGCATGGGAGTCTCTGTGCAGGGGGAAGGGAGTGTAAAGTCAAAGCATCATGATGGAGATGTGAGGAGAAGTGAGAACAACACAGCTCAGGTTGCAGTCTCCTTCCCTCTCTAGCTTAGATAAGAGTTGTGAGTTTTGAGATCCCATGCAGTAAAGTTTTCCCACTACTCTCTTTCAGATGAATCTTTCCTCCAGGTTTTCCCATTGCTGTTTCCTAGGTTCTCTGTGTCATGGAGGGGTTTCTTCAGTGCTCAGACCTAACTGCTGATTTCTGTGTAATCAGCCCCTTTTTTCCCCCCCAGTTCAGCAACAAGCATGATGTTTTTTTCCCCTTTCTGGTGTGGTCTCACTGTCAGGAGTACTGAGCACAGAGCACAGTGCTGGATGTGCTTAGAGCAGGGCAGGGGTGGCCAAAAATTGGGAGAGGATCCCCAGGTAACCCCTTGCTAACTGCAGCCTCCTCTGGTTTTCCAGACACTACGACATCAAACGAAACGACGACATAGTGTCATTCTTCAATGACTTCAGCGACCACCTGGCTGAGGAAGCCTTGTGGGAACTGTCCCTCAAAATCAAACCTCGGAACATCACGAGGCGGAAAACGGATCGAGAAGAGAAAACCTAGGAGCAGGGGGTGGTGCGAGCGAGGAGAATTGCTCCACAAAGGCGCCGAGGGCAGCTATGAGACTGGAGTTCAATGTTTGTACCTGTCACTGGATGACACACCCTCCCTCCCAGCTGGCAGCCATCCCTGGCGCTGGGAACGTCGCCGCGGGCCAGAGGTGACCGCGCGCGGCCGCCGAGGGCAGAGATGGGCAGTGCTCGCCCTCCTCCTCCTCCCGTCCCTCTGTGCCATGAACCAGCTTTAAACCCGGGGAGAGAGAGAGAGAGAGAGCTGTGTGGAAGGAGTGTCCCACGCACGTGTGTTGCTGGTTTGCTGGCCCGTTGCAGCTGGGAACATCCCAGGGTTTGTTTTCATCCACAAAGAAGGGTCAGGAAGAGCTCAGCACCCACAGACTTGTCTCCAGAGCGGTGTTGGGCAGGCAGCAGCCATGGAAGCCAAGGGTTGGAGTCTCCCCTGCAATGCCACCTCCAAATGTGTTCATCCTAGGAGATGAGGATGGAAGCATCTCCTGCTGCCTGCCAGAGGAGCTCTGCCTTCAGAGAGCTGCTTGTGTTTACAGGGGTCTTGGTTCACCCCAGATCTCTGGCGCCTTCCTCGTGGGAGGAAGGCACCGGTCGTAGATACAGAAGAGGCACTGAAAAAGTGGGCAGGGACCTGCTATCTCCAGTCATCACACCCCCCTCCTCCTCTCAGACCTTGTTATTTAATCCCTCCAAACCTGGACTCGTGGACTCCCCAGGTCCCGCGGGTCACCTGCCCATGGTCCCGTGTCTCTTAGCGATGGTACTAGCTTTTGCACAGGAAATGCTGTAGTATACAGACTGTACATACTAGTGTTTTAGAATCCTTTTGGGATTTTTTTGATGCATGTCTGAATACTGGTGAGTTTATAGGAAAAAAAAAAAAAAAGAAAAAAAGTGCAAAACAGTATGTATAAAAATTCACAACCGGTGACAATGTTGTCCAAGTGCTGGAAGAAAGGCTCGGGGCAGCAGGGTGGAGGAGGTGCAGGAGTCAGGCAAAGGAGCCAGTGGGTCCATTTCTGGGTTGGAAATGGGAACCAGGAAGGAGCCCTGTGCCCAGCCAAGCTGCCCTGCCCTCCCACCCTGCTGCTCTCTCCTCTCACTGTTGCCAAATGTTTCTTGCCGGGGATCCCCGTCAGGCTGACCCTCGGTGCTGTGCTTTGTGTCCCAAGCTTTGGCAGGAGCCCCAGCAGGTGCCCAGTCCTGCCGTGCCAGAGCCAGCAGGGCAGGGGCCTGGCATGGAAGAGTGAGGCAGGGGGTTCTCATTTCCCACACATGCAGCATTAACCCCAATCTGTTCAGTGTGCCTTATTCAGCCCCTCTGTCCCCTCTCTGCGTCCCACCCGTGGTGTCCTCCCCAGCACAGCCCCAGACAGGCCATTTCACATCCCTCCTCTCTGTCCTCCTCCCATGGTTTACACTTGGATCATGGGTTTGAGCAGCCTTGAGAGACCCTTCTCAGCTCCCTGCCACATGGTCACAGGTTTTTACAGGGTTCTGACAAAATCCTGCAGGTTTAGGGCAGCAGCTCCCAAGGAATAGAGACGTGGAGGTTCACAGAGCATCCTTAACTTATTTCTCAGTAGCAGCTCTGTGCCTGCTAAAGCCTCTGTTTATTCTGGGTGAATCAGAGCTGCATTCACTTCCTCCTCCGAACAGATTGCAAAGCCTTGGGCAGCTCTGCCTGACTCTCAGGAGGAAGAGAGAGCTGTTATTTTCCTGAAGATTCAGGCAGGAGACTCACACCGTGGGCAAGTGGAGAAGCACAGAGAGACCCCTCTGTCCACAAGGGCAGGAGAAAAACCTGAGTTCTAACACAGTCCATGCTGTGCAAGCCCAGAGCAGGAGGGGCAGGGATCTCCCTGTGCTGAAACACAGAGTCCAAGCTGGAAGGCTTCAAAAGTGATTTATCTTCATGGCACTAAGGACGTTGGAGCTGTGTGTTGAGTCCAGCCAAGGCTTTACAATCCCCAAAGGCTTCCCAGCCTTCCATGCAGGAAGTAATGCCTGTGCTTTCCTTTGTAAATAAGATTGTTTTAAAACCCCAGCGTGGTAAGGTGGTGTCAAGGCCAATCAGGGTGTGTGGCACAGGCGTCGCCCCAGCGGCTCCAAGTGCCCCTTGGACTGCTGCTGTGTCTGGGCTGTTCTGGAGTGTCGTGTGGGGGTAGCACTGAAACCACAGCCCATCACCCTGTGCTGCCCCTGTGGGGCCCTCGGGGTGCAGAGGTCATGGCTGGGCCTCAGTGCCATGGAGGAACCGGAGGGTGCACCTCATCTTCATCCCTGCCAGGATGCTCAGCTCCTCTGCTGCCAGTGGGAGCCATTTCCAGGTTCTTCCCTGCCCTCTTAGCACTAAAGTGAGTCTTGCTCCCTGCCTGCCCTGCCTCAGGAGGTCTGTGTGTCCACAGCATCTTGTCCAGCGTGGTGGGGCTGAGCCCCCCTGGCTTTCCTCCCTTTGCTCTGCCATCATCCCCAGCCGAGCAGTGTCCCAACCACAGCTCCTGGCTCATCTCCCAACCTTGGACCAGGATTGCAGGGCTGGAGGGACCCTAAAGGAGGGTCCCCTTGCCCAGAGCAGCTTCAGGTTTGCTGACCAGAGTCCCCTGTCTCCAGGAGCAGCCCCTGGAGAGCAGGACAGCCCTGTTCCTGTGCCCTGCAGGCTGTGTCCTCGAGGCCATCACCTCTTTCTGGGGAGAGAGAAGAGGGGTCTGAGCCCCCTCTCCGTGTGGGGCAGGGAGTGGGGAGAGCAATGTCCCCAGTCACCTCCTGCCTCTCCCCCTCCCAGCAGTTCCGTTGTATTATAGATCTACCACTAACCCCGTCCCGGTGGCATCTTCCTGCGAACATTTCAGACCTGTAACTTTTTTATGAAAGACAAATAAAACACCAATAACGAACCTGCCTGATGATCCTGTTTACAGTGCATGCACAGTCTGTGGATTAAAGTGACAATCGAATCCGTCTCTGGCGCTGGTGTGGCCTCGTGTTTTCTCATGTGCCCCTTGGGGTTTTCCTCTGCCCTTGGCTCTTGCTCCCCATATTTTTCCCTCTCTGCTGAGATGACCCTGCCCCAATCCGAGCCCTACACTTGGGAGGGACATCTGCTCCTGTCCTCTGGGCACTGGTGTCCCCCGTGCTGGGGGCAGGCGTGTGCCCAGTCCATGCTACGGCCACGTGCCAGAGGCCAAGGGCTATAAATAAAGCCCTGCAGCAGCCGAGCTGCTCCTGTGCTATTTTGGTCCTGGATGGGGTTCAGAATTCCTCTGGAAATAATTGCTATGGGACAGCTCAGGAGGAGAGTGCCCAGACACTCCTTGAGCCCATGCTGCCTGTTCCCTTGGTGGGGCTGGACCGTGGTGCCACGTCCCTCCAGCCTGGCACAGGGGGAGAGAGCCACAGGGTCTGTCAGCAGCTCATCCTCCTCCCCCTGTGGCACCTCTGAGTGGCAATCCCACACCATGTGGGCTTCCCCCCCCCAGGATGGGCTGGAACCTTGACACCACCTGCTTTTGGGAAAACCTCAATTCATCAATTACAGGAGAATTTCCCCTGAATTTTGTGGTGGATAAAAGCCATGGCAAGAGGAGTTGGGGGGAAGGTTCTTGATGTGCAGAGAAAACAAAAGCTTTGGCTACAGCTGTGTTTTATTTCAACCCAGAAACAGCAAGGAGGTGGCAATACAGTGTGTGTCTGTCTGTGTGTGCAGAATTACCGTAGAAGCTGCATATGAGGGTTGTATCTTCACATTATTAAGGACTGGTGAGGGCTTTCCACACACCTGAGCCTCTGTTACACCTCAGCCCTTTACTCCCATCTCCAGCCCCAATTATGAAACACTCCCTCTGCAGCAGAGTCCCATTTGGCAGCTCCCAGTGCCAGCCTGTGGTAATGGGATTTGATATCCTGAAGCAGAGCTTCATCCCATGGGTGGTGCCACTGCTCTGAGGTGACTCCTTGCCCAGAGGAGGGACACAGCATTGGCATCACTTCGGTCTGGGTCATCACTGCAGTTCACAGGGCTGTGAGGGCAGGCAAAGGCACGTGCAGCTCCTCATCCTGCCAGGAAGGACAGACACTGCTCCTTAGCCATGATCACACTGTGGTCACTCGTTTCCCAGGGCAGCCCAGCGATGCCATGCAGGGCTGTGGCCACTTCAGCTGCCTGTGCCTGCCAGGCCACAGTGAACCACAAGGAGCCCTTGGCACACGCCGTGTCCCTGGGCTTGGGGTCCCTGTCAGAGGTACAGGACCACCACGACGTAGATGACCCAGCTGATGGAGACGAACAACCCGAAGATGAGGCTGAAGAGGACGAGTGACCGTGCCCTTCTGGATGCCACGTATGCCTGGGCCATGTCCCCACGGTCAACTGCAGACCGGGTCTGGTGCAGGGGGGAGAAGGAGAGAGGTGAGAAGGGACCCACAGCACCAGTGGAGTGGAGATTTGATGTGCTGGGCTGGTCCTTACCTCACAGGAAAAGACGAGGGCAATGACCCCAGTCAGCAGGCAGCAGAAGAGAGTCACCAGCATTGACTCCACCATGTAGTCCTTGGGCAGGTGCCCACGCCCAGCGAGTGATGGCCCCGGGGCTGACTGCCCATTGCACTGTGATACAGGGAGTGGTTAGAGCCACACACAGTCCCCTCATCTCTCACCCTTGGGTGTGCTGCTCAACCATCATTTGGGGCAAGCATGGAACCCCACAGACCTGGGAGGGGAGACAGGGAGCGATCCCACCACACAGCAGGGCAGGAACACATCGGGGTGGGTGGGTGATACTCACAGCAGCGTAGGGCTGGGATGCAGGTGGGATGCCCGAGGCTGGGAAGGACCCTGGCCCTGGTCCTGGCTGGTACACGACAGGCACTTGCTGGGAAATGCCACCCGGGACCGGCGAGTAGAAGAGGTGAGCGCTCTTGGGGTCTGGGGGTGAGTAGGGTGGTGGATCCCCCTCGAAGGCTGCGTTGGTGTTCATTGCCACCACCACGGGTCTGTCCCCAGTGCCATCCTGCCCCGCTCGCCACGCCCCGGGGCGCTGGGGCCCCACTGCTGGCTGCCCCTCCATCCCACGAGACCCTGCGGGCACAGCGAAGCGGTGGTGAGCACAGCCCCGACCCACCAGCCCCAACAGTGACCCCGGCTCGGGCCGTGGGCTGTGCCTGGTCACCCCTGTGCCACCAGCTCAGCTCCCCAACCCGTCCCCACCCAGCGGTGCCCACAGGTGCCAACCTGCTGCCACTCGGAGCTCCATGCCCTG